TTTGTCGTCGGAGGTCATCCGGAGAAGTTCGCATTTTCACCCGTCCTTTGGGCTTAATTGAAGTCCGATTTCGCGCAATTTCGTGAATTTTGTGTATTTGCTGTGTGTATGTGACGAAAAAGGTCGTGACGATGTTTTCCTAAGGCTTGAAGTCCTATTGGGAACTTTTCCCCTGAGTCTTCACAAAATAGCCCATAACCACTCTTTCGTAAGACGATGGTCTTGTGCCATAAATGCAAGACATCAAAGAAAAATAGGAAGTGGTTAGAATTTCTAAAAGGGTGAGTCTCAATTCAAGTTTTCTATGACGGTCAATAGGAACTCCTAGAACTAGATCCTAGACTCCAAGGAGGAGAAAAGAAGACCTCACAAAAATGAGGTCAACATGCACTTCTTTCGTTCTCATTCATAATTAAGGAAAACTTAAACTCTGAGCTAAAAATATGTGTTTGTTGGTTATGCTCCTAACAAAAAATGGAATAAATATTTTGATCTCAATTCTAAGAAAATGTCTGGTACCATGGATGCCACCTTTTTTGAACTACAATCATTTTTTATATCATCTTCAGGGGAAGGAAAAAACAAAGATGTTTCTCTTGAGTTTTAGGATTTTTTTCAAAACAAAGACTCCCGAAATAGTATGTCTCCAACCTTGATAGTTCGACCTAAACACCCAAGCGATATTATATCAAGAGAAAGTGTGTCGACTTTTTCGATATTAAATTTTCTAAAATGTCATCTCATGATATTCATAATAACGAAAAAACAAGAAAAAGAATGATAACAACAGTACCGTTTGATCTTGTCCACTCGAAGTAAAAGACAACTTAAAAGAAAAGGTCTGTGAATATTTTGTACTACCCAAAATCAGCAAACCCAAGTAATGTCCTCATTAATCCTTTACCACATGTTCAGTCCACTTCATCTTCAACTTATAAGTCTTCTAGTCCTGAATCTCAGCCTAGTTTAAATTCAAAGTCAAATGAATCTAGCCTTCCCATAGAAGAAAGCTCTTGCACCCAACATCCATTGTCTCATTGCGTGTCATATAAAAACCTCAGCATTTTTCGTTCTTTTATCTAATAATTATCGCATTTGGAGATTCCTAGAATTGTGCATGATGCTCTAAAAATCCTTAAGTGGAAGGATGTTTTCGATGAGATGAAACCTTTTGAAAAAAAAATGACACATGAGAAGTGATTGATCAACCTAAAGAAAAGATAACTGTCAGATGCAAATGTGTGTTTATAATCAAGTACAATTCTGATGGCTCTTTAGAATGTCACAAAGCTAAACTAGTAGCAAATGGATTTACTTAGACATATGACATTGATTATTTAGAGTCATTCGCTCCAGTTGCAAAGCTAACTCCGTAAGAGTACTCTTATCACTTATAGACAATCCTGATTGGTCTCTACAACAGCTGGATATAAAAAATGTCTTTCTCAATGAGTACTTAAAGGAAGAAGTGTATGTGGATGCACATTCGAGAGTTAATAAGAAGTTTGACATAAAGGTGCACAAAGTAAAAAAAGCCTTGTACGGGTTGAAGCAATCGCCGAGAGCGTGGATTGAAAAGTTTACATTGTTTATTAAAATTCGGGGGTATACTCAAGGGAAAGATGATCATATAATGTTCTTCAGACATTTAAAAGCTGGAAAGATAATCAAATCAATCGTATATGTGGATAATATAATTCTCACCGAGGATGATGTAAATAAAATGAACTGGTTGAAAACTTCCCTCTCATCAATTTTTGAGACCAAGGACATAGGATCGTTGAGGTATCTCCTTGACACTGAGATTTCTAGATTAAAAAAATGAATTGTTATTTCCGAAAGAAAGTGTTTGCTTGATCTCCTAAATGAAATTGGGATGAGTGATTGTAGACCTAAAGATACTCCAATTGATCCCAATCAAAAGTTGGGAGATGAGAAGGAAGGCGACCTAGTGAATACAATCTGATATCAAAAGTTGGTGGGAAGTTGATATATTTATCACATACAAGTCCAGATATTGCCTTTAATGTAAGTTGGGTAGGTCAATTTATGCATTCTCTCTCTGAGAAACACCTTGAAGCAGTTAACAATATTCTCAGATACCTAAAAAGTACACCGAGTAAGAATTTACTCTCTCAGATGACCACACAACAAAATATAGATGCATACACCGATGCATATTGGCCAAACTCAATTGTTGAAAGGAGATCGTTCCAGATACTAGACTTAGATCTGGGAAAATTTGGTTACATGACAAAGTAAAAAACAAAATGTGGTGGCAAAGAGCAACGCCGAAGCAGAATATCGAGCTATGGCTAATAGAGTAAGTGAGTTGTTATGATTGAAGAAAATACTTGAAGAACTGTGCATTCCGATAGATATGCCAATGAAGTTATACTGTGATAATAAAGTTGTCATAAGTATTACAAAAAATCTTGTGCAACATGATCGCATAACACGTGAGGATTGACAAACACTTCATAAAAAAAGAAGAATGATTGTGGAGCTATTTGTATGTCATTTATTCCAACTACTCAACAAAAAACAGAGATCTTCAACAAAAGATTGTTCAGGTCTAGTTTTAAGCACTTTATAAGCAAGTTGGGCATAATAGATATCTATGCTCCAACTTTTCATTTTCTTTTATTAGAGCTTTGTATTATTGGTATGTTATAATTCTTGATTACTTTTTTTAATTTTGAAGAGTTGTGTCTGATTTATGATTTTGCTAATGTGGAAATCATCTCTCTCTATTTATTTTATAATAGTTTCATATGAAATTGAAGAGGAATTATTACTTTTTCTACTCCAAAAATCACAAAACCAAACCAGAATAATTTAAAAGGTATCATAACAAGTTGATATGAAAAAAGTCTCCAAAACTAACCATAAAATAAAGAAGGCATGGTAAATAGTATGCTCTATGTTTCAGGCTCCATGAGGTGCCATAATGAATAGCTCAATTAATGAACCACATATTTATTCATAGAAAGCTTGCCTTTTATATCAGGGTGCATAGGGTCAATAAGCAGCTTGTTTTCCTCCTTGAAACCGTAAGTTATGTATCATTGAAGTAATCGATAAATTAGTTGAATAACTTCTATTATAACTAGTTGCAAATTTGCAAAGTTGCGAAGTTGAATATGATTTTTTGATTTCCTTATGCTAGTCTATCATGGCCAGTGATGGCGTCTTAACTCAGACATAAAACATCATCTAAATACATTAAATTTTCTTCTCATCATATCCAGGTTAAAGAATATTAAGAGATCAAATGGTACTGGTCCTCTCATCAAATTGAGGTATATCTTTTATAGCTGTAGAAATTTTATTTTCAGTAACATGTCTCGTTCTAGTTTTTTATTCCTAGCATTATTGTTGTGATGCATTCAGCATTAAAAAAGAGAGCTTAATATGAGATATTAATTACCATGGCACTGATCAAAAACTGTTTCTTCAGACTGGCAAGATACATTGCAAGAACTGCTGTTAGTGAAGCAACATCTGTATAGTACAAGAAGGTAAAGAACCAGTGAAGCGGGTAAAGTGCTATAAGAACAGCATAGAATGTTGCCTTCTTTTCACTAAGGGAAGGCCTTAAGCTGATAAGCAAATCATAAACAATCACACTGCATACAACCGCAATGATTGCATTGGTAGATCGAAGAAACCCGGTGGAACACAGTTGATGAAATGACTGGATTACCTTAGTAAACCACATGCCTGGAAACAAAGAAGCAACATAGGCAAGTGAAAGATAGTACCTGCACAGTTTTTGGATTATCAAAAAATTCGCAACATGATTTCTGTTGAAATTGTTTTAAAAAAAAAACCTGTATGCATATAGGAATATAAAAAACTTCTATTGACAAGGAAAATCAGGTGCAACATGAACAAGGGGGATAATTTTGGTAATTTCATTATATTTTAAGTATTTTTACAGTTATTCTAACTTGGAGCTGGCATGGGCACCATATACTGTGGAAAAGAAAAAAACCATGGAGACCCACCCATTGTTTTGAAAAGAAACAATAAATGTAACCTCCTATTCTTAATTCATATGTCCTTATGTTGGTAAACAAACATATAGATCTTAGTACTCTTAAAGACAGCACCATTATTGGATATAATTCATGGTTTCATGCCAAAAGTAGTTAATTGCATGATCTCTAAATAAGTTATAACATTGTGTTCAATTCTCCAAGCGGTATGATTTCTGCTCAATAAATAATATGTGGCTACCAGGATAACCTTGTGACCTCCAAGATAATGAATTAAATGGGCAAATAACATCTGTTCTCTAGCTCTTGATAGTCCATAACACAATTGTTGGATGGAGAGGATTCATCTATTGGTGTAACCTGTTGATGCAAATCTAACATTGGTTGCATTTGCATGCATATGATGCCTTCGACCATAGTTGGCCAATTATAGCTGAATCTCTTAATATTAATTTTCATTTTTGGGTTGAATAAATGTGCCCCCTAGATTCATTCACGAACATCTATCATCACTTTTTGTACTTTGCCCAGGTCAAGGCACCACAACTGCATTTAGTTGACGAAGGACAATATAAAACATTATTAATGGAGACAAACAATAGAGTGAGATTCATAATTTGTATGATGAGCGAGGGTCTATCAAGGAGTTGGCCACTAGGGAGGCAGTTGAATATTGTTTGCCTCTAATCTAGCTCCACTGCAATTGTCACTACTCGTTTGGTTTGTTTTGCCTTGATATTTCACATTCTATCGAATGAAAAATCATTAGCATCATGAATCAACGATTCGATTTCATTATCTTCAGCAGTTCTTTATTTAAGTCCATTTTCGTAGCCAAGAAAGTGGAGTGCATAATTTGGTGATAATTGAATAATCAAATCGAACCCACACTTTTGAGGTGGTTCAATTTAGTTCATTAAACATTAATTTGAAAATTAGTTCTTTTTTTTTTACTTGTTTATTTTTCAGCTTTGGAGCAGTTTCTCTCCCAAAATAAGCAATAAAATAAAAAATCCAAACATTACACGTACTTTATTCCTAATGCCTAAATACACAAAGATGGAAGGTAAACGGTAGTTAAGCCCTAACACCTGAAATTGAAGAGTAGCAAATCGGAAGAAGTAGCAGAAGTCGCAAATCACAAACAGGTAGTTGAGTAGTTGGGACTATGAAATCGGTGTTGGCTAGAGCTTTGAGGTTTCTATAAATCTTGACTCAAAAATTTGAAACAACTTATAAGCAGCCCTACACTCCTATAGCTCGTCTCTCAGATAATTGCATGCTATGTGACGGCGTCAATCATCTAATTTAGTCAAGATGCATCTCCTCCTTTGCCAAAATTGCTATGCCTCCTCAACTTCTCCAAGCCTTCATTTTCCCTTAAATGCTGTTCAAAGCCTCCAATACATGATAACCAATAAGAATGCATTCTCTCCTCTAGAATAATCATTACTTTATACAAGCAGCATGATTTGTATAGCCAAGATATTTAATAGCAACTCGATATTTATCAAATACCTTTTTTTACAATTAACATGATAACCAATAAGAATGCATTCACTCCTCTAGAATAAGCACTACTTTATACAAGCAGCATGATTTGTATAGCCAAGATATTTAATAGCAACTTGATATTTATCAAATCCCTTTTTATACAATTAACATGATATAAACCACAAAAAAATTTCACTTTCTCAAGGCAAAATATAATATGAATCTACCTACTGATATAGTAGAATTTGGTAAATTACAACTTGTAAATTAAAAAAATTTAATTTCAATGGGTTTAAGCTTACAAGGATTTTTCTTCTCTAAAAACACCACGTAGGGCCCGTTTGGGGCAGCTTATATGTGTGGGCGGCGTTTTAAAAATGTCGTCTTGCCGTTTGTTTCGCACTTATTAACAGATTATCCTAAACTGTGTTTTATAATTTGAGAAAGACTCGGACCGCGTGTCGACCCCCGCAGTCCGCGTTTTTGATCTAATAATTACCTGTGACCCTGCTTAGCATCCCGTGACCCTGCTGCTCTCATACGCATCCTTGCTCTCCGAAACTCGGTGGAGGTCCGATACTTCAATCATGGAGGTCGGAAGGATCACCGACGGAAGAGGTGGAGGAGACGCGAGACGATGGGACGAAGAAGGCTATCGCCGTAACATTCTTGTCGAGAGGGAGCTTAGCTCTTGCATTGTCTTCAGGACTGCTTTTGCTCCCTCCGAAAACCCCAATCCTGAAATCGTGTTGGTGGCATCTAGCAACGGATCTCTATCCGCCTATTCAATCGCGTCCTGCATCTCCTCCTGTCCACGGGTAAGAGTTATTTCTGTATTCGTGATTTTTTATTGCCCTAGACAGCTTGGAGAGGAAGAACGTGGTGATTTTTCATTGCTCTATGTTGTTTCACATATGCATCCTTATAGTTGCAAACATGTGGCTTCCTCCCCCTTCAATTCCTTTGTATCTTTTTTGTCTTTCTCTCCCTCTCCCCCTATCTCCCTGCATTGTGGTGTTGCATGTACATGGGAAGAATGCAATGCAAGGTTGATTTTGAATCATTTGGGGAGAAAATGAACAAGTGTATGCTACTTTGTTGTGATTTATATTAGATTCTTTTATGATTTTGTGAGACGAGAAAGTTGCCTTTGCAAATAATTTAACTAAAAAACATAGGAATTTCACGATTATTTGGGTATTATTGAGAATATATGTTTCACAAAACGCACGAACAAAACAACTCAACAGCTTATCCAGAACAGGGGCAGATTGGTCATTTCTCCAGAATCAGCTGTTCTCAAAACCCACTAACAAAATAGACAGACAGATTATCCGGATCAGCTGCCCATCAGCAGATTATCAGGATAAGCTGTTTATCAGCAGAAGCTGAATAAGCTGCAGTTGCCCCAAACAGACCCTTAATGATTCGCATTTAAATATGGGTAAGCTTAAATGATTGCATTTGATTATTTAATACTTTTTAATTCCATTTAGTTTATTTATATGATACCTTTTTGGCTATTATAAATCGTAATAACTCTCAAATATTATGGAGAGAGTCTAATATAGCCAATTGTTCATAAAATCAAATCTACATACAACTACATAATGTTGCAGGTGACAAAGTACTTCAAGCAAATCATTTGTTGCAAAGATAACATTATGTATTCAATTGATTATGAAAACCTGCTTATTCAATCATTTTAGGACGTTGGTCCCGCATTATCCATGAGTTCACTCAACCCGGGAGAAAAAAGTGCAGGGAGAAAATGATATAACGAGTAAGAAAGAATGAGAGATAAAGCAAGGGGGGAGACCCAAAGAGTTATAACGTAAGATCTCCCCAAAAAAGGTTGGAAGAGATCATCGCCCCCTCTTTTCCTTGGATCTCGTTTACCTCTAGTTGTGCATGTTCATAAAAATATTAAAATATGAGTCGAGGTGTATAAAGTTTCCCCACGGTGTCTCAATGAAAAGATTGTGAAGTGGATGTCAAGGGACTACTTAATGACGATTCACAGATGTCAATCTCAACTTTTTGCATTCTGCCAATACCGAGGACCACTGTTGAGGCAAGCTCGACGGATGAACATGATTGGTCAATCCGCTAGATGAATCCAACATGTCAGTCCACCAGGTCAATTTGACAGGCCAATCTGCTTGGTCAATCTGATAGGTTAACTTGAAGCTGGTATAGGATAGTTGACACATCGATGAATGGGGTCAGCGGGACACCTTAGCAGATTATTTTAGTAGTGATTCCTTATCAGGCCCATGAGTAGTGGTGTATAAAGTTTTCCCACGGTGACAATGAGAAAATTGCGAAGTGGATGTTAAGAGACTAATTAATGAGGATTCACATATTCCAATCTCAACTTTTTGCATTCTGTCAATTCCGAGGACCGTTGTTGAGGCAAGCTCGGCGGATGAACATGATTGGTCAATCCGCCAGATGAATCCAGCAGGTTAGTCCACCGGGTCAATCTGACAGGTTAGTCCACCGGGTCAATCTGCTAGGTCAATCTGACATGTCAACTCGACAGTTGGTATAGGACAGTTGGCACATTAATGAATGGTATAGGACAGTTGACACATTAATGAATGAGGTCAGCGGAACACCTTAGCAGATTATTCTAGTAGTGGTTACTTATCAGGCCCATGAGATGTGTGTGCATGCGCACACATTGTCATAACTGAAAAATCATTCTCATTATTTCCTACATAATGCATATATGTACACCCCTCAATTATTTGTCTGCACGTTGCCATAATTGGAAAATGATTCTCTTTATTTCCTACATAATGTATATATGCGCATCACTCAATTATTAAAATATAACAAAATTTTCTGCCCTGTATCGTAATTTATCGCTTCCATTCTCAACTTGAGCAATGCATCCCACACCATCAAAGCCAACACATTTTAAACACGTCATATGTGATAAGTTATGCATAAGAAGAGCATGAAATATGAAAAGGTGGTGGTTCATCAGCCATCATGTTTGCACAACACACACTATAAATATAGTATTGAAAATTGATAATGTGTCGAACTTGATAGAAGTAAAAAGGCATTTTTTTTCTATTCAAAATTTCTTTGCATTTGATGAACTATGGATTTTAATAAGAAATGGAACTGCAATTAGCAGCGAAGAAACAAAATAAAACACAAATGCCCAATTTCGTAGAATTAAGAAGATGCGCAGCAAGCAAGAGTTTTATCAAATGACACAAAAAAAATATTTCCAAGATCTCGTGCTTGTTGAGAACTCACAGCCCGGGTGGAGTGGTGATCATGGGATCCCAGGTTTTAAAGTCGCCGCGGCAATAACGCTGCGCCTGAGGTACATGGAATATTTCGTCCTGCATCCGAGGGTTTCGAAGAGGAATTGATACAAACACGTAGTGAGCACAAGACATGCGAAGAGAAGAATAAAGGACATTGAGAGGCTTACCATGTAGGGATCAGGAACGATCCTATTGACGGCCATGGATATGGGAATAACCCACAAGCTAACGATTGCAGCAACCGCCATTCTCCCCATCTCCACTCTTCGCTCTTTTCGGCGGTCAGTTCTCCCTGGAATTTGTCAGTTACAGTGATCGACTCTGGCTAGAAATCTAAAATCTTGCATGTCAAATGGTTCGGAATCGGGAATTCTGGATTAGGGATCTTGGGTCAATATCTAGCCTGACTACGATCAAAAACCCTGTCCTTCTGCGAACCCAAAAAATAACCAGACTACGATCCTCAGTCGCTCAGTCGCTCAGTCGCTCAAGTCCCGATTTCGACTCAGCTCCTAAATTTAATCCGTTCTTCTCTGCATAGTATAAGCATAGGTTATCACCATTTGTGTGTTTGGGTAAGCATAGGTTATCACCATCTGTGTTTGGGTAAATCTACGTGCTGAAAGTGCCGTAACAGTTTTTTAGTTGTGATTGGCTTTTTCAAAAAAAATAAATTAATTAAACAACTGTTTCTTAATAAGCTGCAGCTGCCACAAATAAATTCTATACCTAGATCGCCAATAATATCTTGCTACTTCTCTACTCCCATGACTCAAATCATCATTTAACTCAAGATATTCCCTAAGAATTTTCTCTCTCAAATGATCATTTTAACCTTCCATTATGGCATATATAATCAATTGTTATCATTGTAACATTTCACTACAACCTATGTAATTAGCTATTGTCATTAAAATCTTTTACTACAACATTTTTAACTAACCGACACTTTTACAATAGCCCACTACGACACATGGGATCAACTAACGCTCCTACAATAGCTTACTACGACCTATGTGATTAGTTACTACTATAGACTTTCACTACGCCTGATGTGGCTAAATTGGGTCATTACAACCTTCAACTACAGCTTATGTGGTCAATTGACACTCTTAGAGTGACCCATTATTGTCTATGTGGTCATTTACTATTGTAGATTCTCACTAGAGTTTAAGGGGCCAACTGATGTCATTACATCCTCTTAATAGGCTTTTGTTGGCAATTGTTATCATTACAGCCATCCTCTATGTCATATGTGATCACTTATTGTTATTATAGCTCTATGTGATACATTGTTTTCATTATAACCTTCTAGCACATCCTATGTTTCAATTGATGCTCTTGAAGTGACCCACTATGTTGTATGTACTTATCATCACGATCAACATGACTAATTGATGTCATTACAATCTTCCAATATAGATTATGTGGCTAATTGACTCTTTTATTGTGACTCACTACGACCTATGCGACAAGTTACTACTATAGTTTTCCACTACGGCCTATGTGGTTAATAGTTGCTTTTGAGAATATCATTTTTATCACTAATGGTCCTCACACTCATATTCGACCATTCATATTTAGCCATTCCTACTCGACTGCTCAAATTCAACTGCTCAAACTCGACTATTATATGTCTGAGTTGGTGAGATTGGGCTCAGCCATTTCTATCATTCTTGCTTCGAGCCGAATTAGTTAACTAGAGTAGATCATGAATTAGGTCCATTTAGATAGATTCATATTCATGTTGATCCGCATAAGCTCTTTTTGGTTGCACAATGTGTAAATACAGAGAATTGCATCCGAGGCAAACATTCATAGGAATCACTTAATATTGACTTTAAAAAAAAATAATTTCTCAAGTTCCTAACAATTTTCCTGATAAATCAAGAAATAAAATTTTAAAAAAAATCATGGTTACAATTTTGATCTTTTGAAATATTTCTAAATCTCAATTCAACTCTCACACATTTCATTTATTCATATATATATATATATATATATATATA